ATTGTAGTGAGCTGCGATCATGCCACTGCACTCTAACCTGGGCAACAAGAGTGAAACTCCATCTTAAAAATAAATATATAAATATATAAATAAATATTAAATAGCATTAAATAGTTACTAAGAAAAAATTAGTTTTCCTTTGAATACCAATAATTAGTGAGTATATACACACCGAGGCATTAAAAATATCACAAAAAAATAAAATGCAGCTATTTCAGAAAAACTTCTCTATTCATGTTATAACAATGTAATTTACCAAAATCTTATGTTTTGAACAAAATTATGACACTAAGGCATATCTAGTAAAATTTTAAAAACCTATTAAAAAACACTGCATTGGGAATCAAGAGACAAAGTCTAAATATGTTCCCATTACTATCAGCTTAACCCCTGAGCAGTTCTGGTTCTCAGGGTTGCATTTTGTAACATAAGGAGGTTTCTGGACTGGACAATCTCTATAGCATCATTTCTACATTCTGCAGTTCTTTATTGCTCTTTCCATCTCTCTAATTCTGTTGGCATTAGACCAATCAACTGACAAACAAATGTACCCACAATTGCTACTTTTACAACCCAGGAATTTTTCTGTTCTGTTAGGAAGGTAGAGACTAATGAATCACTAGCATTTATTTGATAGTACGGTTTTGGAAATATTTTTGCTTTAAGTGAATAGTTTTCTTTGGCTTTTCCCTCCTACCTGAAGGAAGAAGAAAAAGATCCTGTCCTGAGGATGGCCGGCTACTGGAGCCAGGAGGTTTTGAATGTTCAATGAGACTATGCCTTGCAGGAGGTGGGGGAGGTGGGAGAGATGGAGGGAGGGCATCAAAAGCATCTTCACCTGCATTTAAAGAAAGGTCGATATCAGCAGCAGAACTTCATTAATCAAAATACACAGCATCAAACAAAAGTAATAACTGATTTTCTCTTGCTGCTTATAAAGAATTTCACTCGCAGGGTTTATCCAGCAGTTCACCAACTTTGATAACGGGATCTCATTATTTTGTGGGAGATTCTGGAGAGAAACACACACACGCATATACATATAAACATACATACATACACATACACATACATATAAACACACCAATGCAAACTTTTTCTATCAGGCCTTTTTGTAAAAACCAGCATTGTAACTTATGAAACAGCTCATAGTTCACTTGTAACCTTTATAATATTAAGACTCAGAGTTTGAACTAAAAATTATTATCAGTCACACCATGAAAACAGGATTTTCTGTGTAACAAAAAGAGTTCGCAGCCTTTAATTGGAAAATCACATCAAATACATATAATTTAATGTCACAGAATAGTTTAGATTATCCCATATAGTTTATTTCACTGGATTTTAAATTTAACCTAATGTTTCATATATTTGATATGCTGTCAAAATATATATAAAATGTACCTAGAGCAGAGGAATATATTTTTCAATTTATCAGATTTAGCTACAGAAGAACAGCTAAATATAGAAACTTTTCTGGTTCCAAACACTACTTACATTTGCATATTTCCCAGCTTTAATAACTAGAATGTTGCAGCATATTTTTATATCTACTTATTTGTCCCCTGACACACCTTACTATTCTACTCACAGTTTTCATTACCTTGAGTCTTAAAAAAAAAAAAAAAAAGCATATGTAATTTTGTAAGCTATCTCAAAATACTTTATGAGACAGGGTATACACAAACACATATTCTAATAATAAAAATTCATGTTTTTAAGTTGAATGATTTAAACATAATGGCATATTTAAAGAAAAATGAGGCTGGATGTCATGGCTCACGCCTGTAATCTTAACATTTTGGGAGGCCGAGGTGCGTGGCTCAGGAGGTCAGGAGATCTAGACCATCCTGGCCAACATAGTGAAACCCTGTCTTTTATTTGTATAAAATATAAAATATTAGCTGGGCTTGGTGGTGGGGCACACCTGTAATCCCAGCTACTCTGGAGGCTGAGGCAGGAGAATGGCATGATCCCGGGAGGCGGAGCTTGCAGTGAGCTGCGATTGTGCCACTGCACTCCAGCCTGGCGACAGAGCAAGACTACGTCTCAAAAAAAAAAAAAAAAAAAAGATATTACTGTTTACTGAACTTGCTTTAGAAAAAATTTGCAGAATAATTTCTTCAATCATCATATTTTTCTTATTAACATATCTGAAGATGCAGAAGAGAGTTTTGCTATCATTTTAACTTTTAGCTATTTCCCACATTATCATATTTATTCAAATCTTTTTTCAGCCCTTAAACATCAGGCACCATGCCAGGGTCATGCATGATATGAAAATCAAAATTATAAGGCTCTGACTCAAGGAGCTGAGATTCCATGAAAGGAGCTTAAGAAAAAGCTCACAAATAGGTATGAGTTACAGGTGAAAGTGTTCGACTGGTCCCATAAAAGAGACATATGCATTGGATGAAGAAAGAGAAATGTAGACAAGCAGTATTCAGTGAAGTACTGAAGAACAGAAAGTACTGGGATATCAGAAGGCTCAAAAATTTATTTGTCAAATGCAAGGGCAGGATCGTCTAAGTAGAGTAAATAGTATGAAGAAAAAAGGACATGCACAAGAAGACCTAGAAAAAGGCCAACGTAAAAAGACAGGTTGGAGAATCTATCTACTTTGTCGTATAAAGTAGTCACCCATCCACATATAGCTATTTAAATTTAGTGAAAAGTCAGTTCCATAACCACATTTAACCCATCTGCAAATATACAGATCCTTTACATCACCACAGAAAGCTTTATTGAACAATGCTTATCCAGGTGATGAACATCTGGGTAATATGTCTAAAACCAGTGTGCAGAAAGAAGTAGAAGGGAGAGAAAGACTGTAGGTAAGAAAGTTAGGAGGCTTTTGTAATCGATGTAGATGGGAATACAGTCCTGAACTATAGAGTGAACAGGAGCAAAAGATACTGCTATTGTGTCATTCAAAATACTAGTCAGTGGTACTTGTGAGAAAATGGAAGGGTTCATTTCGTATTTCTGGTGGCCTAACAGCCAATTCAGAAAAGCTTGTAAATTGATTTTCTTCAGATATTATTTTATGTTACAATGACTTGTTATTGTGAAGCCTTACGTAAGGTGCGCAGACATTCCAACTGTCTTCTAAAAACAGGATGAGATGTTTCCTAATTAATGAAATTAACAGTGACACTGGCACCAGTCAACTTCAACATACACACATACCTACGTGTACCTTCACCTGTGGATACACACAAATACACATAGGATGTTTCTTCATATTATAATTTGAAACAAGGAAATTGAGAGTTTTTTGAATGTGTTATAGTTGTAATGATTAGAATAAAACAGAATTTATTATCAGTTCTCTACTTATAACTATTTAATTTTGCATAATTTAATTAGCATAAGTGGAACTGCTCATGCTACAAGAAAAGCAAGTTCATATTCATTAAGAATTATTATACTTAAAGAAAATCTGAACACTTCAAGTCATCACTTCAAAACTACTAGAGCACAAAGCTCTCATGTGTTTTTAGACTACATTTAGTATGGACAAAACAACTTGCTTAAAACCTGACTGATGCCCAACTATTACACTACTACTTTAATCATCTACATGGAGTAATGTTCTCGTGAACTTGGGAGTCACCATCCCTGGAGAACCCATTCTAATTTCAGGCACATTCACAACCCAGTGAGTCTGTGTTATAGTGAACTCTGAATTCTGAAAATTCTGAAATTAAGAGAAGAAGGAGAGGTGGGTTGTTGAAAATGTTTTTAAAGGTTTCAACCTAATGGAGGGATGAGAAGATCATAATCAGAGGGCGTCCTGTTGAGTGAAGAACCATGCTTTGGATTGTCCCGAGTTGGAGGCCTGGCAGGTGGTAATGGCACTGGATCAGAGGCTGAATCAAAAACATCTCCTAGAGGATAACACAAAACCTTAATGTATTTTCAGTACAATGGCATGAAATTTTGCCTTTAAATTCTGACCATTAAGATGTACATCACAAAGGAAATTATATTCTATACGTACCCTTTAAATATATGCCTAAGTCAGGGATGTTTGTTTTCTTCTCTGAAGATGGACCATGTGTTCCATTCAGTATACAGTGACCATTATCACAAGACCTAAAGGACAGTTCACAATAAAATCATATAAGGAGAATATTTTCCAATGAAAAGTAATTCAAGAGGTAGAGGGAACTAGAATTCCTGCTCATTTAATAAAGTTTGAACATATATTTTCTTTTCTGGAAAAATTATCAGTAATAACATCAAGATACTCCTTATTTTAAAATGTAGAAGTAAATATCTGAAGGAACAGAGTCTCTTTTTGTAAACTATAACCAAGAATTACAAGGGCCACAAAAATTGTTGATATCCTAAACACATATGTAAAATTAACTTATCTCTGTGGAAAAATTCAATAGAACCTGGTCAAGTTTTTGAAGTAAAAAAAGAAGTATGTGCCAAGGCAAAACATATAGCGGTCTCAATGACTTCATTATTTGTTGATAGTATTTAATATCACATTTTTGCTTCTGTAACGGAAAATTTCCTTATTTAAAAATAAGCTACAGCCCATAAAAGAAGAAAAACTATTAAACTTTCAGTAATTCCATTATAATTCTGACAGGAACATTCAAAGAACTAGAGCCTGTGGTACTATTTCACCACTGCCAAGAACAAAATTCTGGTCCTCTGACACTGCAAAAAATGACTTTAGCAAAGGCCTCGGGTACATGACAAGCACAGTATTTTAATGTGTTTGTAAAGGGTACTACTCACTAGAAAAGTATGCTTCAGTTGTTGGGGCTTTTTTTGTTTTGTTGTGCATGTGTGTCTGTGTGTTGCAAAGGCTGGAGTGCAGTGGCACGATCTTGGCTTACTGCAACCTCCGCCTATCAGGTTCAAGCAATTCCCATGCCTTAGCCTCCCAAGTAGCTGGGATTGCAAGTATGCATCATCACGCCCAGCCAATTTATTTTTATTTTTTAGTAGAGACAGGGTTTTGCCATGTTGCCCAGGCGGTCTCAAACTCCTGGCCGCAAATGATCTCCCCACCTCAGCCTCCCAAAGGAGGCTGGGATTACAGGTGTGAGCCACTGCACCCAGCCGAATTGTTGGTATTAATTCTTTGGAATCATACTGTGAACACAATGGCTAAAATTGGGCCATGGGAAGATAGCAGCACAAAGAGAAGATAGGGAGCATATTTTGCTTCAGTATATAGCTCTATAACAATCAACTGACAAAGAGCTATAGAAATCAGAGTTTACATTTTACTTTCCTCTGATTTACTCTGAATTTTTAGAGCAAAGTAAAAGTGCATATGTAATGGAGGAGATGGTGGATATTTGAATAGATAATGCAAGAATGCTTCATCTGAAATTCATTTCTATTCTCTCTGGTGGCCACTTCTCTTTAAGGGGCCAGATATAGTTCATTTAAAAATAGTTATCACGTATTGAACCTTCATAACAATGATGGATTTTTACTGAAATTAAATTGAATTATTCATTTACTGTGTCACTTTTTCTACATATTGACAATTCACTTCTCCTGATGTTTTAAAGGGGGAAAAATACACACAGGGAAAGAAAGAGTTAAGCTTAAAGAGCTCTTTGGAGAGGACGAAAGAAGATACTTCATCAGCTTTCAAGAACAAATTAGATAAAGAATTCACTCCAATTACATTTAGTGATTATCAACATTTATTACTCTTCTGTAACAATAGAAAAATGGTAATGATGGTTATAATTCAAATTTATTTTCAAGATTTGGGCGCTCTGCCACAAAAAAACTCATCCAATATGATGTAACAATTAAAATTTAACGTATTAAAATATACTCCTCACTTATTCAGCAATGAAAAAAAAAAAAAAGACTCCCAAAGAGACCAAAAAAGCTCATCCTACTTTAGTTTTTAAAAATTACTGCACATCTGTAAGAGCCAAAGAACTGAAAATTGTAACAACTTATATTTGATGAGAAGGAATATCTTTTGTTCTCAAATACATCACTAGCTACTTGGTTCTTCTGATACATAAAATTACCTCCTCGTTATTTCTTTGTCTTCTCAATGATACTATTTTATCAACAAATTTCTTATTTAAACACCAGCAATAGCAAGGAGTGTTTAGGTTCTTGCTTTAAAAAAAATAAAGTCCTGCGGTGTAGACTGTTAATTCTGGGTAATAATTCAGCACAATGTTGATAATTCTAACCAAGGTCACTTATTAAGACAGACATCTGCTTAAAATGAAAATGTGCTTCTCTTTCCAAGTGCTGCATTTTCTACCTCAGTGAGATGCCTGAAGAAACACATTAAAACATTTTTTAGTTTTTCATTGGAAAAGAAGGGAACACCGTACTTATAAAATGTTTTCAGTTGATTGACTTGACCTCGAAAGGAAAAGGCACACTAAGTAAAGATGGCACAGAGGACTGAAGTAATTGCCATCTCCCCTATCCTTCAGTCAGTCCTGGAGAGACGCTGGAATGCAGGGCCAACAGCAGTACTGGAGTCCTATTCTAGGTGCCAAGCATGGCCCCAGGAATGTTATACAAAGGAAAGCAGAACTCAGAAACTAAGTTTTGAAGCTGAGAGTACTGAGTACCTCATACATGTCAGTCAGGTAAAACAAACAAACGCAGAAATATGAGATTTCCGTTTATAAATTCAATAATATAAATGCAGACTCATGCTTTTACTTAAAGATAAATTAATATTTCAATACAAACAACATATTATTAATAACTCTTATTTACCTTAATGGGGCTTCCAAGTCAAAGACCAAGGCTATCCCCATGTAAGTGAGAATAAGCAAACAAAAGTAACAAAAAACCCCCATTATTCCTCACATTTTTTTTTTTTTTGAAACAGTGTCTAGCTCTCTCGCCCAGGCTGGAGTACAGTGGTGCGATCTCGGATCACTGCAACCTCCGCCTCCCGGGTTCAAGCGATTCTCATGCTTCAGCCTCCTGAGTAGCTGGGACTACAGGCGCCCGCCACCACGCCCGGTTACTTTTTGTATTTTTAGTAGAGACAGAGTTTCACCATGTTGGTCAGGCTGGTCTCGAACTCCTGACCTCATGATCCTCCCGCCTCAGCCTCCCAAAGTGCTAGGATTACAAGCGTGAGCCACCGCGCCTAGCCTATTCCTCACATTCTTATTTGATCTGAAGGAAGGTAAAACAGCACTTGATAGAAAAACAAAAAGTTAAGGGAAACAACTTGGTATTTGTTCCCATTCTTCAAAATCTGAATAGAAGTAGGTAGCAAGTACATCAAGAAGGAAAATGAAAATAAATTATACTAGTCTTTACATTATGAAGAAAAATTCTAAGGAAGGTCAGAATAATACATTAGTTTCTGAGCACTAATTTTTTCTTCATGAGATACATGCTTAGAACTGATCAAATAAAGTGACTTCCTGATTAATGAGAAATCTGCATCTTTTAGTTTTCTTTAGAAGTAATGCAGGGAATGGTATACTGGAAGAGAAGGCTTTGAGCTTGAAATCAAGGATTTTTAACTAGACGTAAATCAATTGTTTAAAAACAAACGTTGCAAATGATAATGCTTATGCAGATCTAAGTGGCAAAAAGCTGCCCGTATTCTTACCGAACAGGAGGTTTTACATTATGACAATGAGATGGTTGTGAATTCAGGGAAACAGGATGGGATGAAGGAATCTTGTATTCATCATCATCTTCCTCTACTGGGTCTCTTGTTTTCTCTGAAAGAGAATTTGCTAACGGACCAGTACACCTACCAGGGGAAAAAAAATCCAATCTAGTTTAAGCATAATATTCAAAACAGGCAAGTCTGATGTGACATATTCAAGTCAAAGAAGCTACTTTATCACTTATGTTCATTATTCAATTACAGGGTATCATCTGAGAAGCTGTTCTTATATTAAATACAAATGAAAAGGATTTTCAATCTTTTGTTAAGACTCTTGATGGGATAAAAGAATTTTCATCCTTACAATTTTAAATGGCACAATAGGAAAAACTAGTAACCTGTTGAATAAAATAAAAAGATGTTGGATTCGTAAGATAAAATGTATAAATTTATTCAAACCAAAGCTATTAAAATATTAATATTTTATCTCAATTTAAATTAAATGGGTAAAGTATGATGTTAAAATAATAAGCATGGTAGTTTTATATATTAAAGAAGTCTTCACAGAATGGTCAAACTTTTTGTCTCCTGTGAGTATTATTTATAGTTGGAAAAATATCCAGTTTAATTCTGTAAAACTTAACTATCCTGTGAAATTATAGTTGAAGTTGTTAGGTTTTTCTTCCTACCAACAACTGAGAGCTAAAAATGAATGGAATGATTAGATGTAGATAGTGAGATAACTTATTTTTAAGTCTTTGAAGTAGAGTACATTATTTTTATGGCTTAGATTCCCTGGCTAAATAAAAGAGAATTAAAACGAGTAAAACCATCATCTCATATCAAAAATATTAAGGATTTCACTTATCCATAAGAGTAAATAAACCAAATAAAACAAACCCAAACAAATAGGCAAACATAAACATAATGTTTTTCATAGCTGTTGCTACTGGAGTTTAACCCTGGCTGAAGCCAATGAAAAATGCCAAAGCAGAAATGCACAAACTCAACCTGATTCACTTTAGGAAGACGAACTAGTTTGCAAGGCATTGCAAATACACTAATCATCATGAACCTCATGAGAAATCTGTTCAATTTAAAAAGGAAAAAAAAACAAACCAAAAAACAAAAAACTAAGTGACTGCAATTTTGAAGCACCTTCTGTAGAGGGAGCAAGAGGCCTTTGGTATATTAAACAAACATGCCTGAATTAACATTCATTTTTATTCCTTTTTATTAGTTAGAACGGAAACAATTTTAGGGGCTTTTCTTTGCGAACATTACAAGAAGGCATTTTGAAAAATCAAAAGATTCAAGTTTCAAAGATATTATCTAAGTCTCTAAGACATTCAAAGATCAAAGAAAAACTAAGATTTTTCAAATACAATACCTATCTTTGAAAAAAATTTCAATACTGATCTTTAAATTCTTGTTGTTTCAGCAACCTTAGAATTCACATGAGCTTTACAGGGAGACAAAAGCACAGTGATATAGTGACAAAAGGTCCAATGTCACTACCTACAGCATAACCTAAGGGCCTTAATAATAATCTATTATTACACCTGTTATGGTTTAATTTTGGAGGATTTACTTTCCAATTAAAGGAAGTTAAGTATATGGGCTACAAAACGGTGATCTGATGGCACTGGAGCTGGGAGGGTCTTATAATATTACTTCTCCATAAATTCCTGTAAACACAGACATCAATTTAGCTAAGTCAAGGACCAAAATGGGTTCTATTATCAAATGAAATGAGAAATAAATACTGTACATCCTTTCTATGCCTAAGATATTTTCATTTATAATGAATCCCTTTCTATGCAATTCAAGCATACACTATGTAAAAAGAAAACAGTATTTCTCACTAAACATTCAACAACTATTCAATATCAGAAATGTTCTAACATCTGCCTGTTGCAGGTTCCCTCCAAAGATTTAAGTTTCCAAAGAAGCAGTTCATTATGAGTCAACAATGGACACTTTTTAAAATCACATATGTTGCAGCTAATTTGATATTTTACTTTCATTGATAGACAATTTCTCGAGTAATTTCCCCCATTTGTGGCTTTGCCACAAATCAGTAGATTATTTCCGAATGAAGTGAAAAGCAAAGCTCATCTAATACTTCATGGAGATAAGGCTTATTGCTAAAACTTACTAGTATAAGTTGTTAGCTTAAATGGATTTTAGAGAATTATATCTAGAAGTGAAAAAATAGTCTTCAAGTGGTGTTTGTATATAAATATGAAAAAAATACTTAGGTGTCCCATTTATCACCTTTTTAATAAAGTTCTAAAGATTCAGATTTTATTTTTCTGCTTATGGTTTTTAATAAAAATTGTTAATATCAGTATAATAGTCTATTTAGATTAGAAATAAGCCAATTTATAAGAATAACATTCCAGTATGTTTTATTTAAGACTACATGGTTTTTATTAAAAAGTAATCTTATCCAGTTCTGAAAAAAAAATGGTTTCTATCACAAAAAATAACATAAGAGGATGGTACAAATGAGGTAAAGAAGATGTATATAAAATAGCAAAATAAAGAACTAAAGTCATGTAACTAATTACACCATCTGGAATGACACGTGGGGTTTTATTTTCCTCTACAAACTCATTCAAAAAACAGGTTTAATTTTACTTGCTACTAAATAACTGGCAAAATAATTAGATTTATAATTAGTTATTATCTATTAATATATACAACATTTGGCAGTAGAAAAAAATTCTATCTTGCGGGGCATGGGACAATTTTCAGTCACTGACTAAACTTACGGGAAATTTTTAGGATACCAGAGGAATAAAGATGAACAAATGGTATTGGCTGACTCCACATTAAAGCCTACCATTACACTTATTACTGCAATCCCTTTATATTCTCATCCTACATTCACAGAATGTTCTGCACTGTTGCTGTTATTACTGAGTTAATACTCTGGTAATACATAGAGACACACACTCTCAAAGATGCATAGTCACCCTCCCCACAATCTGGACATTTTATTAAATTCATAGTGTTAGCTATTTGAGCCTTCAGTGATAAATACTTTCATCTTCTACATATGCACATTTGAAACAAACCAGGAAACAGGTGAATTTTCAGGCCAGCACAGGAGATAGTATCCAACGCTATGCTTAATTAGTAAGCTTGTTTTCTACACATAAGGATCTATCTTCCTTTAATAGTATCTGAAGGCAAGTAATGAAAAATATCTTCTGTTAGAATCTTTAGAGCTTGCCCTATACATTATTCCATATTTCTTATATTACATTATCCCAATCCTAACAGGGAAAATGTCTAATTCAAATAAATAGTCCAGAGAAGAGACAAAACAAAATATAGCTGTATTTGAAATGATTTTTGCACATGTGCCACATATAAATCATTTCCTCAAAACACTAAATTTTATCATATACATGCTAATTTTGAAGGGTCTTTCATGACATCAAAAACATCTGTGTGGTATACTATCAAGCTTTAAGATAAGCTTTACTTATAAGCATTTTCACTAACTTGTTTGTAAATCGGAGCAACAGATTTGAAGTTGCTTTGTACTGTGTTCTATCCAGCTTCTGTGCTCTTCACACAGATAACCTCTTGGTTTGCTCCCTTACTTCCTTCAAGTTTCTGTTCAAATATTTGCCTTTCAGAGAGGTCTTTCCTAATGACCTCATCTAAGTATAAACCTCTCTATCATTATTTATCCTCTTCCCTGCTTATTTTTCCTCCTAGCACTTACCACTAGCTGACAATATACAATATAGTTACTTGTTTACTTTCTCTTCTCCCTAACTAGAGCTTAAATTCCAAAGAGGATAAAGGATTTTATCTTGTACACACTGAACCTCTAGTCAGTAAAGCAACTGAATGAAAATAGGACAGTTAGGTGAAATTTGTATTCTCTGTTTATGGAACCAAAAATGTAAGCACTTATCTCTTTAGGAAAATATATATTATAAGAATATATACTCATAAAAATAGATAATACCACTTCCAATAATAAAAAAACCTTTCTTACAAAAATGCAAACCAAGTAATATTGGTTCATGGGTATTTGAAAGCCTAAGTTTAATATGTCAAAAGCACAAAAGGTCCATCTCTAAAAGACAAGGCACACACACAAAAAAAAATTCTAAAAAAAAAAAAAAAAAAAGATATTCCTCAGCATTTCAGAACATTATCTTACCTGGAAGTAATTACTCCATTATTACTTGTAATAATGCCTCTGTTCATTTGCCAGACTATTGTGTGTCAAGTAAAATAAATATTTCCTTAACTATTCAGAGTATCATTTAGTTTTAATTTTGAAAAATCAAATTATTTCAAAATAAATATAATTTAGTAAATAAATAATGTAAACTATAAAGTAAAAAGAATCCACATAGGATTACTTTGTTCTCCCTCCAAAACAGTAATTACCCATGTTTCTAGGATTTACTTAAAATTTTGTACTTATAGCTAAGTGTCAAAGATGTTAAGCAGAAACCATTTAGAAAAAAACATTACTTTAGAAAAAAACATCATTTTAGAAAAATTAAGTATATAGATACAAGTAATTTCAGATTGCTTTTACAACAGTATATTTTTTAGAAGTAAATTTCATACTCTTCCAGGTCTCAAGACAAATTACACAATAAAAGTCAAATAACTGCAAAGATACAGTTTAACAGGAAAGGAAACACTATCACAGAGCAGTCTCTGACATCAGGTAAATGGAAATCAGTAAACAGTATCAAATATTTAACAATACTATTTCTGTAAATATGTATAACAACATAGTATAAATATAAAGGTAAATGCTAGCTTTGACGTTCTTGGATTTAACACTGGAGTTTTCAACATTTGTGAGAACTAGAGAAGTGTATGTTTGGTAGCAACGTGTAATTTTTGCTTTGGCCTGATTTTGAAACATGCACCAAGAGTCTAAGATGGAAATGAATTCTCAAACATCCGACATTCTTATTTCTGTGAGTGGCATTTTGCTAAGACCTCTGTTCTAAGACGATCCAGAACCAGGACTCTCGACTCACTGTTAGGTTGCCAGGTTTGCCATCAGTATTCTTTAAAAAAACACACTGTATAAAACCTAAAAAGTTGAATCTCAAAAGGATTTTGGAGATAATTTAAGTTAAACAGATCCTCTCTTCTATCAGATGGGGAAAGGCCAGAGAAGTTACCCCGTTAAAAATAAGACAAAGGCTGTGGTGGTTCATGCCTGTAATTCCAGCACGCTGGGAGGCCGAGGCAGGCGGATCACAAAGTCAGGAGTTCGAGACCAGCCTGGCCAATATGGTGAAACCCCATCTCTACTAAAAATAAAAAAATTAGCCGGGCATGGTGGCGGGTGACTGTAGTCCCAGCTACTTAGAAGGCTGAGGCAGAAGAATGGCTCGAACCCAGGAGGCAGAGGTTGCAGTGAGCCGAGATCGCGCCACCGCACTCCAGCCTGGGTGACAGAGTGAGACTCTATCTCAAAAAAAAAACCAACAACAAAAAAGACAAATACTTAATGGCGGAGTCAGGTGTGGTACACAGTCTGATTTTATTCTACTGTTCACATCAGCATTCCATGCTGGTTTTATAATAAACCCAGTGTATAACTAAACAACTAAGAAAAATGCTTATGATAATGTTAAGAAAGGAGGGCATAAAATTATCTCTACAATATAATCTAAACAAGGTATAAACAAGTTTAAACAAAAAAGTCAAAATGTTAAAACTCTGGACATTGATATTTAGCATCTGCGTATGCTTATACTTATGTATCTCACTTTTTTCTTTTTTATATACTTTGCATATTGTCTACAATGAACAACTGCTACCTACAGAGTCAGAAAGAAAAATAAACTGGAGAGATAAATGTGCCATTAAAAGCTAACATTTGTATTGCTAACTATGACTGACATGCAGCATGCCAAATTGAAAACTAATTTGCTGGTAAGCGTGCACTGTTAAAATTATTACTCTAAGTGAAACAACTGCACTGTTTCTGAGTGAAAAATCAAGAGTAAATAGGGAGAAAGTATGACTAATTTTAGATGCACTTACAAATTGAAGTATTAGAAAAAATACATTTTACTATGAATTTGTTATTCTTGCTTCATTTACAGGAGAAGCAGGTATTTAATGTTAAATACAAATGAAGCAAACTGCAACTTCCAGCTTGCTTGCCAATATGAATTTAATAAACAGAATGTGAAAATTTAATCTCTAATTAGCAAGATTTCATTTTCTAATGTTTTCTGAGTTATGAGAGGTAATTGAGCTTAGATGTTTTATTACATGCACATATATCCAGAGTTCATTTAGGGCTAGAATATCATCACATGTTGTCACTGATTTAGAGCCTACTACGCAGAGTATGTGTAATTGCTTCCAACTCCTATGTCTGCTAAATATCTGGCAGTTCCAAGAGAAGTTCCCACTGGAGAATGATCTAATTCACTGAGTTTCCCACCATCCCCTGAACGATGTCAAATTTCACACCCTTGTTTTTTCTCATATGCTGCCTTTCCCAATTGTGCGTGTACTTCATGAGTCAGGAAATGGCCATCCCTCCATGAAACATCCTTCATTCACAAAGGCTATAACAGTCTCTCCTCCAAACTCATTTGAAACTACTAAGTTAGCATTATAAATGTTCGTGCATACCGTTCTCTACTGATTTCATATATGTTAATGTTATTTTCCAAAGCAGACTGTAAATTTCTTGGGGGCTGGGATCTACCTTATTTTTCGTTTGCATTGATATGTATAGTGGGAGTTCAGTGAACTGCAGATGAAGGAATGAAGAAGCTCTAAGACTTTCAATTGGAAATAAGGACCTCAGCAGATAAAATTTAAATCAACTGACCAAGCATCCACGTATTCTCTGTGTACTTACTTACTATATGCAAATCATTTACTTAGTATACATCAAATACAGTAAGATGTCATGGGAGATACAGAACACAGTTTTGCCCTCAAAGTCTTGTAATCTTTTCAACTGGAGAGCCACATTAAAATCAGAAAACAGTATGGCAGAGTATATAATTAAATGAGTAGAAAATAAACTGCAGGAAGAGGAATGTGAATCAGTCTTAACCATTACAATTGAAGAAGTCACAGATCATTTCACAAAGAAATACAGTCTGAGATACGGACCTTTAGGATAAAGATTAGGAAAAGGTAAAGTACAGGAGGAACAGCATAAAAATCTCAGAAAGCCAGAAAAAACAATCCAGATAAAATTACAGGGCAAGTATTAGGAATCACTGAACAATATTTTAGTTGGGTAAAATTCTGTAGGATCTTACTGTTAGCAGAAGAGTGTAGAATTAATTTAATAGAAAAAGGGAAACAATGCTGGTTTTTGAGTGGGAAAGTGACCGGGGGAAGGCAGAATTTAAATTAAATGAACTCAGTTGCAGTGAACAAAATACACTGGAGGAAAGGCAGACAGCCTGACTTCATATAAAGAGCAGGAAAATTAGAATTGGGATATCCAGTTTATCCTGGTTTAACTTGGGAAGATACCAATGAGAGATATCTAGTGTGCCTCTGCGGCCCCATTTTTCAAATGAGATACCCACTTATCTCATTGTACTAGCCCTAAACCCACTGATACTAAATCTCCGATCATATGAGATGATCAGTTGCTCTTTCAGTTGTCCAGCTCTGAGGCAAAGCTAGAGCAATGGAGAAGAGGAGAGGAATATGAAAAACTCCAAAAGAGTAATCAAAAGGACTTGGTAGCTGAATGGATGTGAGAAATGAAAAAACTGGTAGAACCAAAGATTCTTTCATGATGTCAAACTGGAAAGCTGAGATAAAATGGGTTACCTCTGAGGAGGAGAGGTAAATTTGAAGGGATACCTCATTGTGCTACTCTATCCTCTTTGATGCAAGGAATACTTAGCTTTCTCTCCCTGTTGCTCTATGTGTAACCTCAAGAGTTAGGTAAGTCTCATAGATGTTGTGGTTACCAGCAAAGTATCGGGAAGGATCTTAATTTATGGTAAGTTAATTTGTAAATACAGCTGGCTGTTTACTATCAATGACTTTCTATTCGTCGTGTAGTGTCTGTATTGAGAACCTCTCAAAACCACTCTTTACCATATCTTGATGCACAGACAAGTGATCTCCAAATTCAACAAAACTCACTTTATGCTAGGGAGGAGGGTGGTAACTGGAGGAGGAGGAGAAAGCCGGGGAGGAACGTCATATTCTTCACTTCCAAGATGACCATTGGAAAAGACCTGAAAGTAAATCAAATGGTTAGTTTCCAAGAATTTAACTTCTGAAGGACCTTAGAGCAATAGCTGCTCTTAGGTAACCTACCATTTTGAAGACAATGTGTAAGTTCAGTATATTTAAACAAGCGAAATGTCATACAATTTATTCAGGAGTCAGCAGCACCACACTGATGAGTCACCACCGCCTAAAGTGGCTCAAGGTTATACAAAAAATAAAAATGTTACACCATGATTCTTAAGCACTGAGAGGTAATACTATAATTTATATAAATCACATACAGATATTATTGGCTAAATAGGTAAATAATAAAATTCACTAACTATGATCAGGTTTTATTGAAAAGTTAGCATTCTCTATAAGGGGTAAAGAAAAAAGCAGCACTGATTTATTCTTTTTTAAATTCCTTTCAAATTAAATTGCTCTAAATTGTATTTCTCCATGGTGAACGGAACATTCTTAAACTTTCTGATAAAACAGTACATTAATATAATCAGAAGTGCCTTTGTTCTTTCATGGTTGAAGCTTCTGTGCTAAAGATAACTAGAGACCTTTTCTGGCTTTCCAAGTGCAGGCAAATTTAAACAAAATTTTCAGTTAGTGAACATACAAACCACAATTTCTAACTTGCTCATATGGGACCATCCAAAGCCAGGGTTCAATTACTCTGAATTAGGGAATTCTGGTGTTTAGACTTCTGTTACACTATAGGAAATGTCTGAAAAACTGTTATTTGTTTCTACTACAATTTGAAATTACAGCAACTTAAAAGTGGGGGGTTATGAGAGGATCATTTTGCTGAAACATATTCACAAGAAAAGACTGAACACATTTTAAGACCTGTAAGCAATCATTAGATTTTTATCATGGAGTTCCTTTGTAAACTCTTATTAATTCATATTTATTAGGTAGACTGATGGTGGGGCTAAATGCAAGTGAAGTAATTTGAACAGCGATGGATAATTCAATTGAGGACTTAACAATTACTTTTCTCCATCACATTTCTAAAATGATGTTGAAGCTTTAGAATATAAAATTGAAAAGGTCATACTCTTACCTATCAACCTAAAATAAGAAAAGAAACAAGTTTAAAGAACACATTTGAAATTTATCAGCGTGTGTATTTCGGAGCTACAAAGCTGATCCTAAGCTTTAGTACAAATTTCTCTTTTTTCATGTTTCTCCTCATTAGACTCAATATACTGTAGCCACACCATGACAAAATATTACCTTTAAATAAAATGATTTTATCCTGGGCTTTTGACTGTGGCCAAATAACAGAATAAGGCAAATTGTTCTGAAGTGTGCCAGAAAGAAGAAATTTCCTAATAGACATTAATCATTTTGAAGTTTAATAAAATCCTTTAACATAAAAAAAGATCTTTTAACTGACAAATACACAAATGCTCATTGTAATACTGAGCTTTGGAAGTCATTCTTCATTGGAATTCTTTGCATGCTGCAGGAATAGATACAATGTAAGATATCTGCAGTCAAATTTCCTTAATTCATGTCACAAATACATATAAAACTCATTTGGGAAAATGTAATGTGAATTTTATATGCAATAGTTTGTTATTTGAGGACAAATCATCCAACATAGATAGATGCTTAATAAAATTTCAGCAACAATAAAATAAAAGAGAGATATGGGAATAATAGTTTCAGTTGTATTGGTTCTAATTTAACAATAAACCAACCATAATTTTATAATCAGAACACTATGAATATATCTTTCAAAAATACCAATACACTCAAACATTTACCGGTATTGAAATTGCTTTCATCTTGCACATTAGGTAAATGAGAATAAAACACTAATAACAGAGCTTGCATATTTTTATGTACTACTATTCAATTTCATGAAGAGAAGTCATACAGGCAATGATGGCTATCACTAGTAAAACCACAAAGTACAATTAATGAGGTAACTTACTCTTGGAGGGCAGTATCTAAGAAAATTAAATGACTTGTTCCTAATTTTTTGAAACAATCCATTAATTTGCTTTAAAATGCAAATGGCACTTTTTCTAACTGTTTCAGAAATACCATTTGTTACTGACGTATAGTAACTAAAGGATTTCTAGAGCCACTGAAATGCTGTAGTGTCTTTTCTGAACCATTCATTTGATGTTTGGCATCTGATAATATTTTGCTCGTGCTCTGTGTACTTACATTTCGTCAAGGAGAATTTAGGCCACGCTGGGCCTCTTTCAGGACAAAAACTCTTATTACTCCTTTACCATTTTACAGCATATGCCTTATGGTGCTTTACACACAGTAGGGCTGAAATGAATATTGACTGCTGATTGGCTTAGATGTACTTATTAATGGAGGTATTAACTAGTGAAATGACTTTCCTTAGGTTTAGCTGAAAGAAACTCATTATTACTGAAATACTCTCAGCAAATATGTGTATATATATACACACATAAATATATATACATACATACACACACACACACACACACATATAATTTGTTTAATGGCTGTTATTCCTGCAAACTGTTCATAAATATGTACTGAGAGTTGACAATATGCCTAATACGAAACTTGGAATTCTGTATAGTTCTTTCCTAATTATTAGATTGAGACAGCAAAGGACCTAAATGTGCAGGTACTTTATAAAGTGATGATCATGTTTCTGTTCATCTAAAGTGGCTGTTTATATTTATGGATAGTGGCTAAAGGACAAGATTTAACATTATGTCATTCTGAATTTTATGTTCTCACCTGCAACCATTTCATTACAGCAGAAAATCATTTTAGCTGCCACTACCTGAGTGAGTACAATAAATCACAACTTTGGGGTCTAAAAATAAATACTTTATATATTTTCAAGATATCTAAAAAACCTGTTTGCAAATGGTAAAAAAAAACTGTAGTTCTTCAAATGTACAGACTGATAGTATCAACTGAAGCAGTTCACACTGAAACCTCACTGAATCCTCAACTAAGAAACATCTTTTCATCCTCTGCATTCTTAGCTCACTGTCCCAAATCTATCACAATTGCACTGGAAATGCTACCAATTTAAATCTTCTAAATTCACAATTCTAATCGTAGTATTCCTCTGCCAGAAAAGAAAACTTTAAATGTTCTTTCCTGCCTACCAAATTATGATTACTTAATGTAGAATTCAAGACACTTCATAATTGGTTTCAACTTACCTTGCCATGGTCTTACCTCACCTGCCCACTCTTTTTATGCTATAGGCCATCCAAAACTGACTGTATTATCACTAAACATACTCTCCCACCTCCATGCTGTTCCTTTCTGTAATAACTACAAAAACAACAGCTGCCAGTCTTTTAATATCTATAGCCAGTGACCCTCTTGCATGAAGCTTTCTTTATTACTTTTTCAGTCCTGCATCTTGGAATTTTTTTTCTTCTTGGGGATCCCACACATTTTCTAGATGCTTCTCATATGCCTTACCTCTTAATCACATGCCTGTCTCATCCTGACTAGCTTTTCTGTGCTTTATTCCTCTTTGTATTCCCCAGAGTGTCTTGAACATGCTAGGTACTCATATAGCTGAATTAGGTAATGAGGTTGAAGAAATAAGAAAACAATAGCCGAAGTGTAGACTTGTGAAGGAAGTATAAACTGGCTTGTATAATTTATTAGAAATCTAGGTTATCTTAGATTAATATTTCTCTAAATGCCTCAAGGTATCATCTAATCCTAAAGTGTAAAATGTTTTCTTGTGATTCAGATATTGTTTAAAAACTGAAGATTAAAACATTTGGGACCCTTGAGATACACAGAAAACAATTTTGTGAAAATCTTCGCACAATTAAGAAAAACATTTTTAAAAAATCTTACTAAACACAAGCCTTTTCCCGATCCTACACATGTCAACCCCCATGCATGTCAATCCCTACACATGCTACCTCAAAAGTACCCCTGTATTTTGTCCTTCAGCATCAGACTGGACATGAAACCAGTACACACAGAGGACTGATTTTCTGAAAGACAGTCCTCGAAATTTATAGATAACTTTAAGGTCATTAATATAAACATCTGCCTCTCCACCAAAAGTACAACAAGCCACAACTGCAAAAAGGGAAATCATTTGATGTATTTATCTTACAACGTCTTCAAAAAATTATCATACCAAGGTCATCTTTAGAACAATGTCACTGTAAGTAACATGACCAGTTAAAGATAGTTTTATCACAAAAGAAACAGCAGTATTCTTACTGCCTCAAGAGAACAAATAATGACAGTTGGGTACAATGTTGATATCTAGAAATAAGTAGATACATTTCAAGTTTCTAGTCATATTTTAATATACTTTGGTAGAACTATTTTCCTCAGATAATTAAAACAAACCACCAACGACAGTAAATATCTAGCCAACAAGATGTCTATTAAGGAACAGCTTTATAAGGTGACTAAAATCTAAGACTTTCAGAGAATGGAAACAATGCTATAGGACAGAAATCTCTTACCAATAAAGTCAGATAAATAAACTTAATAACTCTTAGCCTGTAGATCCACATTTAAAAAGTACTACCTTGACTAGCTTTTGATTATGCCAGGCACGAGGGGAAGAGTAAAGGGAGTAAATGAATGTCACAAAAAATTCTTACACTTCATTTTAACTATGAGCTAGAAGAATTTTTTTCCTCAGAGCTCTCTACAATTACCAAATGGAGTAATTAGAGCTTAATTTATTCCCATTTCCCCTACCATTCATTGTTTTAGTTACAACGCAAACAGAAAAGGCAAATGGTTCTATTGGATGATGAGAACTGACATACTGACAGGACGAGTAATGAAGGGAAGCGAGTCCTCGTCCATCGACAGGGTATTGACTTTTATAAATTCCTGTGTGTTCCACATGTAATAATTAGTTTTCACTTCCATTTTTAGTACTTATCTACATTTTCTTATCTCTAAAATGGGAAGATGCTATTAAATTTGAAGCTTTGCCTCTAATGAAAACTACTAAACCTAAGCGGCAGTTTTTATGATTTGATTAAAAAAAAAAAAAAAAAAAAGCGTATTTGCTTACATTAGGGGGCCTGATGAATTATGTGAACAATAAAACAGCCTCCAAATATCTAAATCTCCACACTCTTTATCCCAATGATAAAGTAAGACAAAACAAAATGGCACTATTAGGTATGAAGGGTGAAAATATGTTGTTAATATCTACTATTTTCATTAAAAATCTTAGTCCTTTTATAAAATAAAAATATCTCCCCTTTCTCTTCACTCGCTCTCTTTTTCTTATTGTATATGATCTACATATTTAAAATGACTACTCTTCTGCAGAGGAAAAAAATCTACTTTAAACATGAAAACTATGCAAGATACACAAAAACCTGTCCATTTGTAACTCCTTGCGTATCATGGCCATATTCTTCCTCCACCTTTTCTCTCCTGGCCTACAGCTGCCTACACTCAAACCCAAGCACATATACTCCTTTTTCTCTACCACTGGCTTTAGCGTTAGATTACTAGCACCAAGTAAGTATTATATTATAAGCTTAACCAAGTTATAACTTGGTTATTGAGTGCCTACCAAACATTATTAGGAACTATGCTAAATAAAAGAAAAAAGGAGTGAAACAAAGATGTTTTGGTTTATAAAACAGACAACTATTTTGAATAAAAATGCCAAGTATTACAACTTATTTTGACACTCTATGTCCAGCTGTTATTTTTGTTTTTATTCCTGAACCAAGAGGTATAGAAATTCAGATAGTTGGAAGCTAACTATTATCCTAGATACCAGGTATTATTATTATTCCATTTTATATAAAGGAATAAAATAAAGTTCCACTTTATTTATAAGGAAAATAAGTGAGGTTGGAGACAAAGATGAAGTAAGTTGCCATATACACAAAGCCAGTACATTCTAGAGCAGAAAGTGAAATCCAGGCCTGATTTCAGAGCCTGGTAACAAACTCCAACCCAGGATCACAGAAACTGAGAATTACAGGATCCTAAGTGATTATGTCAGTTGCTAGTTGAAGCCAACCTCTTAAGTCTCCCAAGAATGAAATGAGAGAGGAATTAGGCCTTTTCTACTTTATGTAAGTTCTGGTAAGCCCTATGATCTAATGAAGTGAAACCATTTTTCCTTTATAATGGTAATAAAAGAGGAGACATGGTCTGTTTTATAGTTTTGTGGCATTCAATGAATCAAGTTCTTCTTTACAGTTCACTCCAGAAGTTAAACAATTAGGTTGAAATTAGAAATCTTAGAAGTCTAATTTTGGTTGAAACACCAAATCTAAGAGTAACATGAGATTAACTCGAGGATATTAGCATTGCAATATAAAGACACACAATATATGAGATTAGACCTTAGGGAATCTTAATGAAAATTATTTAGAGAGAACTAAGCAGTAAAGTTTAGTTTTCAATAAGAGATAAAATTTTCAGTCAGTCTTCTCTGTTATACTAATCTGCATCAATGATCACAACATGAAAGTTCACAGAGAAATATTTAAAGAAATGTTCTTATAACTGAACTCACAATTAATATTTCATACCTAAAGTTAATAAAATACAGTATCTCATACCAATAACCTAAGAAACTGTCACCCCAATTTTTGCAACTGTAACATTTTTAAAAAAAATTATCAGCCAGCTTTCTAGAGCTTAGGAGGGTAAATTTATAACAGCATTAAAACCAGAACACGTTATCCAAAAGAACCCTGAAACAAGATATCTTCAATGAAATGGCTGTGACAACTATTATATTTCAAGTATTTTTGAAGTCCATTTAGAAAATAAATTATAACACGCTTCTGAGATATAACTAGGTAATTACAACTTCTTCTAACACTCTTCCCAAGATAAGTGTGATCACATATGAATAAAAAGTTAAGGCTAAAGGGGGAAAAAAAAAAACAACACTGAAAATTTTTGAAAATGAATGGCAGGTCCTTCCAATCAGCATTCTAGGTTGTGGAAAAACTCTTTTGAGGATGAGCTCCCCACTGACAGAGATCATTATAAAATTGATTTTATTAGTATGTTCTCTTACATTTACATTATATTTAGATGACCCTGAGGAAACTTTTAGAGATCCTCATATCTATAATAGATGAGACTGAAGGTACCAAGTTGAGTCACCAGCAAATCCTTGCCTTTGTTCTGAATGCAGTGCTACTGAGTTGTGATTCTTCCTTTCCTGGCTACCCCACATCACTGAGGTTAAATATTGTCATACGAAGTGTTCATTATCACTGTACCTCCACACACAGAGGAGCTGAGTGCAAGTCACGCTTCTTCCTTGTATCCTGAATATGTTATAAGATGAACTTACCAACTTTAACCATTATTTTGAAGGACTAGACTACTTCTGCAAAATATCAATTTAAGGTCTACAGAGATGAGATCACTTTAATATTACAGTCTTCAGAAGAGCCAAGGCCTCCATCAGTAAAGGGAAGATGGCAAGGATCTAATCTCAGAGTCAAAAGCATCCTGGAACCAAATACCAGAAATTATTACAGTATACCTCTGCCAAGGAACTACCAAGAATACCAAGAATTCTAAAGTAAATGATTTCTGCCGCTGTCTCTTCAGTTTCCTGCACACATAAACTCCTTCCTGGACATATAAATGATAGTGGTAACATCCTTCAAGTGAGAAGTCAACAAGGGTGAGAATCTCTCAGTTTTAGGGGAAAAGAACTTGATTTTTAAGAGTGAACTTGGTTTAGTGTTTTTGAGTATATAGGAAGTTCATTTTACCTGGCTGCCTAATGTGTACTGTCCCAGGCAACAATAACTAACTCCAGCAACGGATTTATGACATGTACAGTAACACGACTTGTAAAAATTGGATGGAACTAAAACAGTTTGTTAAAAATACAGTGCTGACCAGGCGCAGTGGCTCACAACTGTAATCCCAGCACTTTTGGGAGGCTGAGGCGGGAGGATCACCTGAGCTCAAGAGTTCAAGACCAGTCTGGCCAACATGGTGAAACCCCATCTCTACTAAAAATACAAAAATTAGCCAGGTGTGGTGGCAGATGCCTGCAATCCCAGCTACTCGGGAGGCTGAGGCAGGAGAATCGCTTGAACCAGGGAGACAGAGGTTGCACTGAGCCGAGATCACACCATTGCACTCCAGTCTGGGGGACAAGAGTGAGGCTTCGTCTCAAAAAAAAAAAAAAAAAATGCAGTGCTGATTATACCACCACTAAGTTGTTAATAGAAGAAATTTTTGGCAAATGAAATAAGGGAAGGTGAAATAAATCTCTGGCAAATTGTCTAGTGTCTTCACATTAAAATTAAATCATTACTTAGAACCTCCTGACTTCTCTTAAGTTCAAATTTTAATGAGCTTCTGATTATTTATAACTTGGGGATAATTAAAGACTTGCAGGGAGGTGCCATGCTAGGCAAAAAAAAAAAAAATACTTCCCAACCTTTTATGCTACTGACCATCAGAAGCATTTATAAGCAGATTCTCTAGCTTCTGCTTTGCGTATTTCTTACCTTAGCTCCTTCTAAAGGCAAATCATGGCGTCTGTGTTTCCGCATAAGCACTGGGTCAGAGCCCACTCTACTGTGCCTTCCATTCACATTTGAACTCGCTGTGATTCCAGGTTTTGGAGAGCCTTCTCCTAGGAGTCGACATCCCACAAGCTGATTAGTCCCAAACACATCCCGAGGGCACCATGCTTCAAGAGGCATTGGTGGGTCTCTGGAAGGCACGCTTTCCACATGATGGATGTGTCTACTCAGTCTATTGTCTGGTGGGATTGGGGGAGGTCTTTCAGGTGGCGGTGGAGGAGGATCTCTTAAGGGAGGAGGTGGTGCTGGGAGTGGTTTATCTTGTTTTCTCACCATGCAAGGAGAAGACTAAAGAAACAGAAGAGAGAGAAAACAAACTAAAAGTTGTACCATGCATTGAAATAACTTTCAAACATGTATTATTACTTTAATTTTCTAAGCAAACAAGGAGTTTTACTAGATTGCTGTGCCATCTTTTAATAAGTTTCTTTTATTACCAGTTAATGAAATTTAAATGAGAATAAAAAACTCATAAATACATTTCATTAGGATTTTAAAAAAAACAGAAATGAGTACATAAATCCAAATGTTAAGTTATAGAAATGATACAGAAACAAGTAGATCAAAATCATATGATGACTTTGACATAAAATGTCAATAATTTATTTGCACATTTCTATGATTTAGGTGAGACGAGAAAAGCTGTCACTGTTCCAGTTTTTTTTGAAGAGCAACTTGATTTGTAGTATTTGTAATATTTTTAGAAGATTAAAAGCTTTTTCTTTATTTTTGTTTTCATCAGTGTGATACAGCATAACTGGTATGGGGGCAAATGTGCTCTGCTTCTTTATCAGTTATTACCAGAATAGTAAAAGATCACAAATAACAGCAGCACTACATATCAAATTACTTCAATTTTATGAATTCCTACAGTATTTTAAAAGATCAGGCTGATTCTTACATAGAAATATAAAGGTATAGATCAATGAATTGAATGTGTATGCTTTTCATAGCTTTTGACTTTTATTTCCATGGTTAATCTGATGATGGATTTGTAATTTTAATGTTAGAAAGTAGCAGAGAAAAAAGGAATCTGTTGTGTTTACATAATTCTAAATGATATTCTAATAGTGTGTGATCTTAAAACCAAGTTAACTGGTAATACAGGAAAATCAAACACTACTAAATATATTGTGCTTCCAACAAATTTTAGAGAACAGAGCATGTTACCAAATAAAATTAATTTTTAAAATTTTATACTTATCAAATTTGAAGAAAAAATCCACACAATAAAATAAATTGTAGGCTTAACTGTAGAGTAAGAATTATGTCTTTAATATTAAACAGTAATATAATTACTTTGCAAATATTGCAATTCATTGTAATTAATTTCCCGAGGTTTAAAAACTACATATAATTCTCACTTCTACGTCACCTTGAAACAAGGGTGATAATTTGTCACACCTTAAGCCCTTATGCAAATATACTCCCATCACATTTTTCTTGTCATGGCACTATAAAAATGAGTGCAGAATATCATTTGATAACAGCATGCAAATTATTTCAATGCATATAATGACTTTTTAAATCTATTTTACAAAATAACCATACTTACTCTGCTACTTATTTTGGTAAATCATGGGGCAACAGACATATGCTCTCTCTGCAAAAATTACGTGTAACTTTTATAGTAATAAAACAAGAAACACGAACATGTGCTCACCATAAACTAAATGAGAAACTCATCAAACTTGTTCACAATTAAAAGCACAAAAAATATGAGTAATGGAATTTAGAAGAATCTGAGCAATCAATAATTGTCTTACAAAATTTTATCTGTGTTTCTAATAAAATTGATCTACCTTTGGTGAACCCGTTGGGCTGCCACAGGGAGATCTAACTATGCCTTTCTGAATTAGATCCAGGCGAGGAGGCACTGGTGGCAGGCTTAGATGTGGGATCTGGAGTGGGTCAGGCTGTGGCTTTCTTCTCTGGGCAAGGGGAGAGGATCCTGGTGATGTGACTGGTGAGTTCTGCCTGTCAGTGCACTAGAATAGAAAACGAGAAAGATGCCGCTGTTTATTAGCTGTGCAGAGTGTTCTCTGTTCTTAAAGAACACATTTGGTTGGAAGAAGGTTTCTGGCACCATACATTTGTTAAAATGAATTCCCTTAGTTTACCCTGATTAACAGAAGCAAATAGTTCACATTGTCCCTCAAGGGCAGTATTACAAAAAGAACAGATTGATAAGTTTTTCTTACATATTGCAGAAAGGGGCTAAGAAAAAAGAACAGCAAAAGTATAATATAAAGACAATCAAATGCAGATATTCTTCAAGAAACCCATCTATATTTTCTGAGGAAGCCAGAAACACATAATACAATAATGCACATTGCTCTTGGATCTCTATATTATAAATTTTTTTGCTCGTCCTTTGTACATTCTAATAGTTAGCTATTGCTTTGTTCCAAACATGCATCTTGTACATAGTCTATTTTCCTGCAAACCAATGAAATCAGGTGGGGTTTAAAAAAAAATTGTTTGTTTAAAATAAACAGGTTTAAGCCCATTTTTTTTTCCTTAATACTATACATATAAAAGATTCTCAAGTTAAACATTTTTCTTGAAACACAATGAACTATATCTAGGAAAGTCTGTCTGTACTTCTGGCAAAAACTGATTAAGTTTCTGTTACTACAAGTTTTCCATACTGTCTGGTAGATAAAGTAGCATCAAAAAGTCAGTAAGTATTTCAATTCGTATGTAACGCTTCCTATTGCATGTGTTTGTGTGTATGTGTGTGTCTCTATGTGTTTTAATGCAGCATAACCTGATTTCTATTTGTTCTAAAAGCCATATAGTTAATCAAGTAGCCTTAACAGGATAAACAATATTCTGTTCTAAAATACTGGGCAGTTTCCTTTTCAAGTCTAAGTTACTAGCTCTTTCAAGATTTAGGCTTACTTTTTACAACACTATCTATCATGCTTTGATATTGTTCTGTTTCTGAATGTTAGTATTTATAGAGTTTTAAACTTATTTGTAAGCCATTTTCCTACTAACGTTACTTACCTTTGTACGAATTGCTGATGTCATCACTTGACAATTTAATATGAACTCAGCAGCTTTATCATTTAGTCTGTCTTTAACTGAGATAATAGATTTGTGTTCACATTCACACTGTTACACTGTATAAGGCTTTTGTTAATTAACTAAAATCCATACTTTATTCAGATTTTCTTAGTTTATACCCAATGTCCTTTTTCTTCTCCAGGATCTCATGCAGGACACTATCTTAGTTTTTATTATTACGTCTCCCTACTCTCCTTTTGGCTCTGACAGCTTCTCAGACATCCATTGTTTTGGATGACTTTGCCAGTTTTGTAGAGTACTGGTTAGAGATTATACAGAATGTTCCTTTACTGGGATTTGTCTAATTTTTAAAAATAATTAGCCTGGGGTTAAAAGTTTTGAGGAGTAGGACCACGGAAGTAAAGTGTTATTCTGACCACATCGTATCAAGGATCCATGCTATCAACATGATTCATCACTGCTGTTGTTGACCTTAATTACCTGACTGTGGTATTGTTTATCAGACTTCTTCACTGTTAAGTTTCTTTCTTTTTTCTCCTCCTTCCCATAGTATACGATTTGCAAGGAAGTCACTGCACAGCCCACATTTATATAGTTGGAAATTTATGCATCCTTTGTAAAGACTTTTTAAAAATAAATCTGAGGCCAGCCCTGGTGGCTGATGCCTGTAATACCAGCACTTTGGGAGGCCAAGGCAATAGCCTGGGCAACACAGTAAGACCTCCTCTTTACTAATCTTTTATTTTTTTAAATTAGAAGGGTCTGGTGGTACACGCCTCCAGTCCCACTACTCAAGAGGTTGAGGCAGGAGGATTCCTTGAGCCCAGGAGTTTGACTTTACAGTAAGCTATATCATACCGCTGCACTCCAGCCTGGGCAACAGAGCAAGACCCTGTCTCTAAAAAAACAATAAAATAAATAAATCTGGGTAGCTAAACAGAAGACCATACCTCCGATATGCCTGAATATTGTCATGACATTACTAAACTGCAAAGTCTTTGTCTCTGTTGGTGCCGAATAACATAATCATTCAACAAAATTCAACATAATTTTACATTACAATTTTAAGAAACATTTCTTTTTAAAAAATTAGTGATTCTTTTTCATACCTTTTAGCTTGGTTATGGTAAGTCGAAAAAATTCAATTGTCACTGAAGGAGAAAATAAAGAATCTCTATAGTCACAAACTGACTTTAGTATAGTCAGTGATTCTTAACTAAAGAACAGTTCTACCCAGAAAGTCACAGGCCTCACATGTTCCATAAATTTGAACCTTCTGGAGCAAAACTAATCCCAAAGTCATCATAGATCAGAAAAAATTCCTCATATAAAGCTATCTGCATCACAGAATCTTGACACTGTAGATCAGCAATTGTCACAGGACAACTAATTCTCCAACATTCCTATTAGGATAAATTATATTCTCTGAGAACTAGAAAAGCTGTTACCTGAGAAAAATGCTTTGTTGATATGGCTACTATCCTTTACAAAGAAGAATCAAGAAGCAGAGCTATCAACACTGTTTCTAGCCCAAATAATATATTTTTATATATATAGAAAGAATGCATAGTTCTTTAGTTAGTTGCAAAGACACTTTTCAGGGCTAGATGCACACACTACAAAGACTGCTGAATGAGACCTGTGCTCCTCCAAGCACTTTTCTTCTGCAAATATTTTCCCACTTCTCTCATTTACTGTAACAGGACACAGAATTGTGATAGAGCTAACAGCCCATCATCAGTATTAGAACGTGACTTTCACCCTAGAGTAGATTAATTACTAATATTTAAGCAGTTACTAAACTTCTAGCATGTTTAAATAATGGGGTAAACTTGATTTGAAATGTGTTGAAGAGCCTGTTAGATACTGAAAGAGTATAATGAAAATCCTCAGAACAGACATCCAAACCAATGTGTGTGGCAAAGTAATAACCTTGAAATTTTAGATACTTTCAGATGAGCAGACTATCTGAAGCTTTGTGAATGTAACTGGAAGCACACCTTGCTTAGTGCAATTCATACTGTGTTCTGAAAGTTATTATGTACTGTCCTTTTGAAGAATTAATTCATTTTGAAGCAATACAGTATCTGTAAGTTGGCTTAGTTAGAAAGATTTTATGGAGAGTATGTAAAGGACCAAAATATCTTTCACCTTTATTGATTATATGTACTAAACTCACCAAACCTCATTTTCCTGAGTTCTCCTAAATTACAGTAAAATTCTCACCTAAGAGTACATAATTTAACAATGCTCTTTTGATAGTAATGCATTATTCTTTGCTGAACCTTTTACTATTTTTAAAAACAATTACGCAATTAGCATGCTGAAGCTTTGCATTAACTTTCATTGCTGGTAAAATTCAAACACTACGAAGATTTGTAAACATTTTTAGTAGATATTGTTCACATAGAAGGTCATTTTTAATTTATTTGAGTCATGACAAATTGTATTTTTCTTGCCTTCCTATTTGAAAGTCTAAGGAAAAAAGGAAATCTAGCACAACGTTGCACAATCCAGTCCATAATTAATTTTTTGGATGAGATATTAAAAATTCAGGACATCAAAATTTATCAGCTTGCTTTAAAGAATAAAAAGTCTGCTCTTTTTTATCCTTCTGAAAATAAAAAAATAAAGTAGATCAATTCAATGTAGACTGAAATTATTTCTCCTTTAAAAGACAATGCTGTCTTTATGTAATATCTGCATTTTTAATTTTTATTTTTGCATTTTAAAAGACTAAATTCTAGAGTAACAGGCTTTTCCCCTGTACAGGTAATCACCAGCTAATTCAAATGCCTCTATAGCTGGGACCTGAATGTGGGACTTCATCTTTAGTCTACCAGTTCATATCATCCCCTAAATTGACTCCTTATCAGCCATTTCCTCCACCCTTTTCTGGGCCTTCTTCCACAGTTCTAATCCCCAGTTCAGTTTACCCAGGCTATTTATCTTTCTCTACATATGATAGGTGACAAAGAGAGCTGTTGGAGTAAAACAATAACAACAAACAAACACAGAACCAATCCCCTGGCTCAGGTTTAAATCCTAAGATTGTGAACTGTGCTAATTATCACTTACTGATTTGTCCAGTATTCCTCTTAATCACTACTACTTCCATTGTGTATAAAAATGCAGACCAAACACATAAGTATAAAACATCTTGGGTAGAAAAGTAGGAAAGGATTCATTTAAATTCTGAATAACAGTTAATATTTTGTTCATATGGATAATCTTGATTAGAAAATGTAAATTTCAAGTATGGCTATCTAACTAAGCTCTAATGCCAACTGGTTATAAAGAACATTTTTTTTTTCATTTGAGTAATCATATAAATAAATGTATAACCAAATGTATAACCTGATTTCAAACCACGGATCTCCTATATTTAAATTTCCTATATTCAAATTTCTTATATTTAAATTTCAGTTATACCATAAAGATGCTATGCAGTCTTGAAAATGTCACCACCTATTGGTATTGTTATCTGTAGATTAAAGAATAAAATTAATCCATTTGACAGGAACATTATGGGTTAATAAAATTAAATAATGCATTATAAAATAAATGCTGATGTAAAACATTTATAAACACATAAAATAAATGCTGATGTAAAATATTTAATTTTTATTTAGATGAAATGATTAGGAAAATGGATTATTTTGATGTAAAAGGGACAGAATGTAAACTATTATCTCTAAATTTCTAGTCAAAGCTTGCCCATCTACACTGCCAAAAGGTAATTCCATTAAAGTTATTTTTAAACAAAATGCCCATCCGTGTTGTTTCTTATTTTGTCCCAGACAATTCCTCCCACTATCAACTCTAAACAATGCAATAGTAACAAAATCAAATATCTAACCAAATAATTAAATTAAGTAAATATGCATTCAAAAGTCAAATAGAAATGCCTCTTGGACTATTTGCTATTATTAGCACTGACCTTTAAAAAAACAAA